CGTCACCACCGTTTCACCAGCATAATGTCTAGACTTGGTGTCAGGAAGACCCCATTTGAATTTTGGCTTCAGAACCTAATTCTCTGGGTTAGTCATTTGAGCTCTTTGAATATCATTCTCTTGTCTGTGAAATGGGATAATAATCCTGTACTATTTCTTTGAGGGGTGATTTTGAGGAAAGCTCCTGAAAAATCTTGAGTTGCTATTATGTGGGCTTAAGGGGAATAGTCTGCAGTGATAGTCAATCAACAAACATTTATTAAGGGACTGTGGAATTATTTATGTACAAGTCTTTTGTAGGTAATTATTTATGTACATATCATCCCTGAAAGAATGTAAGCTTCTTGAAGTCAGGGGCAGTTTCATTTTTGTCTTTGTATCATCAGTTTATAGTAAGCACTAAAATCAATGTTTGACCAAGTATCATATAGTCTTTCCTCAAGACAACCCAGGCAGGTAAGGGCTCAAGGTCACAATACATGTGACATTGTCCCTATTTTATAGATGAGTAAACTGAGGCCCAGAAAGTTTAAAGCAACAAAAATTACATCATAGCGGAAAACTCATTAATCTGTTAAGAACCAGATGAACACAGCAATGCTTCCAGTCTCGCAAGAGAACGACTTTTTCAGGAGGGTGAACTTTCCCCCTGAGCCAGCTTCAGGTACGGCAGAGGTGAGGAAGATGACTGTCTTATTAGCAGGGCCAGGAAGCCCCTGCCTGGAACGTCTCGGGGTTGGAGGGTTGAGTCACGGTGCCTGGCTCCCTTTGCACCTCTGGCCCCGGCTGTGCAGCTACGATACAATTTGGTGTTGTCTCTTCAGCTGTTAGGAAGTTTCATTTTATTGGAAAATGCCCCATTTACTCGAAGTCCTACGGTGCTCTGAACTTCTCAGGAGGAAGTTGTAAGCCTCCAATGGCCTGAGGCGGTTGCAGAGGCAGGTAAAGAGAAACCTCATTTCTCTGCTCTGTCTGCTGTGCAGTGAAGCCTGTCACTTTCTCCTAAGGCCAGAATCTTCAGGAATTGAAATTTAAAGCTAGACCAGGAGGAAGTAGGAGGAAGGTAGATGGAAGAATTCAGGGCTGCGAGTGTAGACCAGGTTTGAATTGCCACTAATGATATGGGCGACGCCATTGGGCAGATGGTTTGACATCTCTAAAATAGGGCTATGGATCGGTGCCCTACCTACCTCACAGTGCTTCGGGGAGGAAACCGTTTCATAAATTACTTACTAGGGGTAGGAACTCAGGCAGCCTTGGGTGACCAAGTACTCCAGTTTTCTCATTCATAAAATGAGGGGGCTGGATTTACACGGCCTCTGAGGGTCCTTTCTGCTTTAAATTTATGGTCCTATTACCCTGAACTGTGAAGCACTATAAAACGTGAGTTATTACTTAAACTGCACATTTTTGTAGACCAAATGAGTTAACGTGTAAAGCAATTTGCAAACCTTAAAACCCTCTATAAACGTGATCATTGTTGTTACTGTTATTATTACAGAATTGTATCAGTCTTTCCACCTTTGAGGTAGCATTAAAACTTTAATTTAAATTTTAAATATCTGAAGTTGCCACTTATCTCCAGGGCTCCCCAAATCCTCCTCTCAAAAAATGTTAAGAAAAGTATATATTTTCTACTTTACACAGAATTTTTTAAAATAATGGTTTATAATTTAATTAGTTTAGATCAGAAGTAGAAATATTAAAATCTGATCAGGGCAGGTGAGTTGCCTGGCTGCTCTCACAAATTATCAACTGACATCTTGAAAAAAGATTTCCCAATCATTAATAATCAGAGAAATGCATATCAAAACAAGTCTGAGAGACACTTTTGCCTGGTCAAATCAGCCAAGACAGAAAAATGCATGATCAGAAGGAGAAGGGAAAGCAGGCCTGCTGGTCATTCGCCAGGAAGTTACCACTTGGCTCAACTCGTTTGGAGAGCTGTAGGGAATGACGAAACCGGACAATGTTGATACATCCGCTTTGACCAGACCAAGGCATGCCTTGGGGTTGTTTTGATTTCCATTTTGGATTATTAACTATTGAGAAACTTTTTCAAGATGTTATTGGTAGTTTGCGTTTCTTACTTGGAGGAGTTGAGTGACCTGCCCAGGGTCAAACAGCCTGTATATGTCAGAGGCAAGACTCGAACGCAGGTTTCCCAACTGTAAGATGAAAACTTGTCAGGCCACGGCCTCTCCTAATGCATAGAGATAGGACTGAATGAATGGAAAATGTTTTAAAGCATTAAAGAAATTTCAGTTATGATTGGGTAACATCTTACTTCTCATCTTTTTGGCTAAGGTCAAGGGAAGCCATGGCCCTGCTATTGCTATGTACGGCCTATCAAAAGATTTGTGTGTGTGTGTGTGTGTGTGTGTGTGTGTGTGTGTGTGTGTGAATATATGTGTGAATATATACTGTAGATATATATGTATATACACAAATATATACCTATATGAACAAATATATTTATATAATCACATATTTTATACAAACATATGCATATATATGGACAAATGTACATTATATAGCCATCTATTTTATATCTTTATCCGCATATTTTATATAAATATGATTGGGATTCGGTTTTACGTATATTTCTGACTTGAGATTAAATTTCAAATGTATCAACATTGTCCGGTTTCGTCATTCCCTACAGCTCTCCAAACGAGTTGAGCCAAGTGGTAACTTCCTGGCGAATGACCAGCAGGCCTGCTTTCCCTTCTCCTTCTGATCATGCATTTTTCTGTCTTGGCTGATTTGACCAGGCAAAAGTGTCTCTCAGACTTGTTTTGATATGCATTTCTCTGATTATTAATGATTGGGAAATCTTTTTTCAAGATGTCAGTTGATAATTTGTGAGAGCAGCCAGGCAACTCACCTGCCCTGATCAGATTTTAATATTTCTACTTCTGATCTAAACTAATTAAATTATAAACCATTATTTTAAAAAATTCTGTGTAAAGTAGAAAATATATACTTTTCTTAACATTTTTTTGAGAGGAGGATTTGGGGAGCCCTGGAGATAAGTGGCAACTTCAGATATTTAAAATTTAAATTTTGCATTTAAATTGGAAATTTTTAAATGCATTTAAAATAATTTTCTAGAGTGAAATGATTCTATATGTGAAGGCCCATGTGGGTGAACCTAACTGCTAATGGGCTAGTGCTCTAGGCCAATACTGGGAGAAACTATGAACACTGTTCAGAACCAGTGAGAATTAAGCCACTTTCCTTCTCTGAGACTTCCCTTTTCATCCATAAAACAGGGGACTGATCTCTTAGATCCCATCCAGCTCTAAATTCTGTGATCCTAGGATTCTGCTGCTGGCTCAGAGTGCTGTCCACAAGACATATTCAGTTGTTTTTTTTGTTTTTTGTTTTTTTTTTTCCCTGCCCATTAGATTTGGAGGCAAAAGAACTAGGTTGGAATTCCATCTCTGCTGCTGCTTCTTGGTCTGTTCGAATTTGAGCAAGTCAACTCGCCTTTGTTAGCACTGTACAACCGGACATGGTCTGAACTTGGGATCAGACTCCTGAGGTTCAAATCCTAGCGTTAACAATCATTCTCTACTTCCTACCTCTGAGCTTTGGATTCCAATAAAGTGAGAGATTGGATAAGAAAACCTGCCAGGTCACATCCAGATGCAAATCTATGATATGCCATTTGACCCCTCTGGTCCTCCGTTTCCTTACCTGTAAGATCTTTTGGAGTTGGACTTAATTGCCAAGGTCCCTTCACCTTAAATCTGTGAGATTCTCCTCAGATATACCCTAAAAACTTTCATGGTTTTATTTCTTCTATTTATCCCTTCACTGGGTTTTCCAATGGGATTGCCATTTCAGTGAGTTTTAACTTAACCATAATGTTCTGGTGTTGTTGTAATTTTCCATTTGGGCTGAATTTTACCAACAAATGGGCCAGTTTCTGTCTATGAGGTTGTAAGAAAACAGATACGTGCTGGTGACTCGAGCTTTGCTGTCTTCAGTCAAGGGAGGGTGATGGGAGGTGGTAATATAATGAACAAGGCAGAGCCTTGCCACTTTGCAGGAGGGATGAGACATGTACGTTGACAACTGGAGGCTATGAAGGACTGTGCCAAGTGTTGGATGACATGGGAGGAAGGAGGGAACCATCCGAGCTCAGGCACCTTTCTTTTTGTTCTTATGTTCTATGTTCTATGCTCTATGTTCTAATATCCCTCCCCGTTTTTCATTCTGCTCTCATGGTCCATGTTCCAGTGTCCACTCTAGTGGTTAGATTGTGTTGTAATACTCATGTTCTAAGGTCTCTTCCCACTCTAGCATTCTATGTTCTAAGGTATCTTCTGGAGCAAACATTCTCTGTTGTAAAGTACTTCCAGGGTTCTAGAGTCCCTGCTAGCTCTCCCAGTTTATGTTCTTAGGTTTTTTAGTCTATGTTCTAACATGAAGTCCCTCATGTAACAGTGTGTTCTAAGACATCTTCTTGCTCTGATCGTATGTATTTTAAGGCACCTTCTGGTTGGAGCATATTGTGCTCTCTAAAGTTCTAAGGTCCTTTCTAGGTCTCACATTCTGTATTCTAATATGTCGAGGTTCAGAAATCTTTTGCCACTTCTTTTGAGTGCCATCTTGGGAGGGAATGAGTTCCCTGTCATTGGAAGTCTTCAAGCAAAGGCTGTTTGAGCTCTCTTCTTGTATGTTATGGAGGGAGTTCTTTTACCAATCTGAGGTCGAGTTGGATAGCCACTGGGGTCTTTGTGTCTCAGATTTTGTGATTCTCTCTTTAAAAGCTTCTAAGGCACAATTCAGCTTTGTAAAAATATCCAATAAAATTTGGTGAATGAGAAAAAGGCATTTTTAACTCTCTGAAACTATCTTAAATCGCTGAATTTGGGGCATCTGCATAAAATGCAGCTACTTATCTTTTTAAGATTATATGCAGATGTTTACTTTTCTGAAGACCTAAATGTAATTTGTTGATTTTTTTTTGGTTGTTTTGTTTTCACAAGGGGGAAAGAGAACCTGGGATCGCCTTCAGGAATCGTGTACCTTTCATGGCATATGTGGCTGGAGTTTACTCAGCGACCCTCATTTTATTCATCACATGGCTGTTAATGAAGGCAGAAATAGGTAAGGATATTTTGTAAAATAAACAGACTCCTCGGTCTAAGTTATGATTTACCGATTAAGTAGTTTTCTTAGTAGTGTTCATTTTTCTTTCTCCTTGGCATTCGATCTCTAGTCATCTAAATGGATTCATTTTATTGCACATCTCTTCTTTGGTTGTGTATGACAGGTCCCTTATTAATTCTGTTGTGCCACACCCCTACCTTTTACTGTAGTGGCAAAGTGCCCAACAGGAGGGACCCCACAGGAGATATGGAATTCCTCAGGGCTGCATTTTGAAATAACCGAATCACAGAATCTGAATTGTTGGAAGGAACCACAAGGCCCATCCTATACCTGAGAGCCTCTTTCTATACCACACCTCCCAGGCAGCCCTTTCCATAAGTTTCACTCTGATCTTGCCTTCCACCCTCTGCTTCTAGTTGGTTTTCTGGGGTTGAGCAGAACAAGGTTAATTCCTCTTTCATATCGTAAGCCTTCATCAGGTAACTGGAGCCATAGTGGATAGTGTTCTGAACTTAGGGTCAAATTCAAATCTAGCCTCAGACACTTACAAGCTACATAACCCTGGGTGAGTCTTTCAGCCCCAATGTTCACATCTGTGAAATGGGGATAATAGCCCCTCCCTCACAATGTTGTTGTGAGGATCCAGTGAGATAATATATGTATTGTATTGTGTTATATTTATTATGTATTATAGGCATAATATATTACCTATTATATATCATGTATATAATATAGAATATCAATTCTATATTATACATATAATATATAATGGGTATTTAATATATAATGTGTTTTGCAAACCTTAAAGCCATATGTAATGTGATGATTAAAAAATTCTAAGAGACTGTTTCTGAGTAATTTAATCATTTTATTCATAAGGCCAGAACGTTTATTAATAAAAGGATGGACATCTCTCTTAGACCACATGCGGGTGGTTTCACAGTTTATATGCCCTTGGAAGAACAGGTGTTCCTGAAAGGTAGCGATTGACTCTGGTTTACAATTAATGAGAAAAAATACATTACAGCGAGGGTCTTGGGGTTCCATGATTTGGATTACCCAAATCTTGGTCAAAGAGACATCGGATCTCCATATCGCCTGTCTGACAAAAGGGAGAATCCACACTTGCCAGACCTGTCTGAGCAAACACAATGGGCAGGAATGCACCCATTAACCCAAAGTTAGAAGTTCTTTCACTGTCTGATTAGATCTTGGCCTGGGTAAGTCTTGGAGAGATTTCCCGCACTGGTTGGCTTCTGGATGAGGAAGTAGAAAAGGGGAAAATGCTTGGTCCTAATATAATTAGTTATTAAATAAAAGAGAGAGACGCTCATTTTTCACAGTAATTGAGAGTTAGTATTAAGTGCTTGCCGTGTACCAAGGATACAAAGAAAGGCAAACAATCCCTGCCCTCGAGAATCTTGGGTTCTAAGCTAAGGGGAGACAGTACGCAAATAACTGCATGTATCGTCTCTATAAATGGGAGGCAGTCTCCTGGGGAGGAGCGGGAGAAGTTGGGGGAAAGTGTGAGGAATGGAGCTGGATCTTGGAGGAATCCAGGGAAGCTGGACTAGCTTTCCTTCCTTCGTAGGCACAATCCTACACTGATGCTTCTTCATCTCAGTAAGGTTGGAACCCCGATTCTTTAAGGTTCTGACCTGTCCTCCCAAGCTGGAAAAACTGGGCCCAAAGGCAGATTGTACCTATTGCCAGAGGCCCCAACTTTGGGGTCCAGAGTTTGGAGAGAAGTTAATGATCTCTAGAGAGTTGGCCACCTGGCAGTAATCATTTTCTGGCCGTATCACCTCCTGAAGACTAGCTACCAAAGTGGGGGGTGAAGCAGGAGTGGGAGGGGGGAGAATAAAATTACATCCTTCATGTGAATGGGGATATTGTTTTTGAGTGAATTCAGCTATGCTGAGGAAATGATGCTGGGTACTTTGCCTATCATGAGGGATCTCCTTGGTTCTGAGCAAGCCGGTGGGCTCTCTAACCCATCAGGACAGGCAATGTAACGGTTTAATAAACATGAAATGAGATACTTTTTTTTCATTGCTCTCTCTCACTCCCCCCCCCCCACATCCAATTTGTTGCCCAGGCCTTTCATTTATCTTTGTAATGTTTCTTGCATTTGCCTCCTTCATTCCTCTGACATTGCTACCCTCTGATGCAGACCCTTCACCTCATACTATGACTATGACAAGAGCTGTTCATGAGTCTGCCTGCCTCAAGCTTCCCTGCCCCACCCCCCAGTCCATCCTCCATTCAACCACCAAAGTGCTTTTCCTACAGCAGATGTCAGAGCATGTTGCCCCCCTACTCAATAAACTCCAGTGTCTCCTTTTCGCCTCCAGGGGCCAATACAGAATGCTTGGGCTTTTAAAGCCCTTTCCTACCTTTCCAGTCTTCTTATTCTTACTCCTGCCCCACCACACACACACACACACACACACACACACACACACACACACACACACACACTGTGCAACCCAGGGAGACATCAATCCCGGCTGCTTCTCATACAGATGCTCCGCCTCCCAACTCTTTATTTTCAATGGTTGTGCCTCATGCCCAGAACTCCCTCCTCATTACCGACTGCTGGCTTCCTCAGTTTCCTTTTGGCTAAAATCCCACGTATTCTAAAAAGCCTTCCCCAATACCCCTTAGTGCCAGTGCCTTCCCTCTGCTGATTATCTCCAACTTACCTGTGTATATGGGCTGTCCCAAAAGTCTTAGTGTGGTTTTAGGCCAGTAAGACTTAAAACGGCACTAAGACTTTTGGGACAGCCTATATCTGGCTTGTACACAGCTGTTTGTACGTTGTGTATCATGGTAGACTGTGAGCTCCTCTGTTGCCTTTCTTTGTATCCCCAGCACTTAGCATCGTGCCTGGCTCATAGTAGGTGCTTAAGGTTGATTGACTTTACTTCTCCCTTCAATTATTTTTGTTTATGAGAAATAGATTATGCATTCGATAATGAGCCAGGCTCAGAACCGCACAGATTTGTATTCTAGTCCAGCCTCTGACCATACCGGTGGTGTGACCTTGGGCAAGTCACTTCCTTGCTTAATATTTTAAGCGGCTTTCTAAGAATAAAGGAGGAGCCTTCCTGCTTTGGTAGAGCGAGTTTTTTTACCTGAGATGACCATTTGCCAACAAAATCACAGGTTCTCATTCTTTGTACAGAGTTTGCATGCTGTTCTCCCCCATGGAATCGAAGATCTTTGAGGGTAGAGACGGCTTCACTTTGCCCATTGATTGCCATCACCAAGGACAGCTCTTGTCCTGCAGAAGGCACACGATGCCAGCTTAGTGATTGATGACTGAATTGAATTAAACCATTACCTCTGGTCATGCTTTGTTTCATTCTCTTCCTTGAACACAGAAAAGTTTCCTAGCGGATACTGGAAGTTCAATGCCCACTTGTTGACTGTGTGACTTTTGTATTTCTTCTTGTTTATGTAGTCTGATGTCACTCCCACAGATCAAAGAAACCTTACAAAACTTAAAAATTAAACCTCTCCAGTGGGAGCTCTGCACAGCATCTCAAAATGTGGAATCTAAATTTATGATTATAAATCTAAATTTATATCCTCTCTTTTCAACCATTTGGCAAACAACACCAGAAGAATGCTACCAGTAACAGTTTCCCTAGATTTTAGCAAAGCGTTTGACAAAGTGTCCTCATGTGAGCAAGATGGAGAGATGGGGCTAGAGCATAGTAGAGTTAGGTGGATTTGAAATTGGGTGAGTGACCAGGTCAAAGAGTGGTATTGAATATTCCATATCATCTTGAATAGCAGTCTCTAGTAAAGTGCCTCAGGGATCTGTCTCTAGTTCAGTGCTGTTTAACATTTTTTATCAGTGTCTTTGGGGGCAGCTAGGTGGCACAGCGGATAGAGTGCCAGCTTCAGAGTCAGGAGAACGTGAGTTCAAATCCAGCCTCAGACATTTACTAGCTGTGTGATCCTGGGCAAGTCACTTAACCCTGTTTGCCTCAGTTACCTCATTTGTAAAATGAGCTGGAGAGGGAAATGGCAAACCACTCCAGTATCTTTGCCAAGAAAACCCCAAATGGGGTCACTGAAACAACTTAACAACAGCAACAACAGTGTCTTGAATAAAGGGTTTGACGAAGTTTTCTGATGACACAAAGCTGGGAAGAATCACTGAGATATTGGCTGGCCGGCAGGCTACAAAGTTGTTGACAGGCTAGAGCAGTGAGCCCCCTACTTTTCTGATCATGAACCCCATCAGCAATTTTTTTCTGTTGGGTATGCTGGGGAGAGTGGGGGATTTGCTGCTTCTGTGGGTGTCCAGGTCAGGGTTAGGCTATACCTGCCCCCAGGGGCTGATGAAAAGGAGGAAGCTTGGGAGCTTTGCACCAGTCAGGACAGGGTGGAGTAGAAAGATGTTGGGTTATAATGAATGAAGTCCAAGTGTGGTTGTATTGAAAATGAGCCTCAGGACTGACCGTCACTGGGGTCAGTGGAGAAGACCCATCTTCTACCCTCTGATTCATTGATCAGGTAGCCTTCAGCAACAAACCGTGGCCCCCTTGGGATCATGCCAGGGCACCTGCCACCCTCTTCCCCCCACTTTGGAGACCACCAGGCTAGAGCATTGAGTCAGAGATAAAAAGACGAAACACGAGAGATAACTATAAGGTCCTACAGTTGTATTTAAAACCAGTGCAAGACAGTGGCTGTTCATCTGTTCATCTGAAAAAAATTGGGAGCTTTCAAGTAGACTATGAGCTCATTATGAGTCAGCAGTAGGGTATGGAAGCAAAAAAAAAGAGAGAGAGAGAGATGATACGATGTGAAGCTGCATAGAGACGTCCCTCCTCCCTAGGAACATGGAGGTGAGAATCCAATTGTCCTCTGCCCCGGTCAGAGCATATCTGGAAAATTGTATTCACTTCTAGCCACCATGTTGTGCGATGGATATTGATCAGCTTGAGAGGGAGGGTGACCAAGACTGGGAAGGGCCCTGAGAGTCAGATCAGCTGAAGGACCATGGGCTGGTTATTCAAGAGAATCGAGTTGGGGGAACATGAGAGCTGTGTTCAAATCAAGCGTTTGAAAGGATATCATGGGGAAGAGGAACTAGACTTTTTTTTTTATGGCCCCGGTGGGCAGAAGGAGAAGCAATGGATGGAGTTGCAGAGAGGTGTATCTCAGCTCTATAGAAGGAAGCATTTCCTACCAATTTTAGCTCTTAAAGTAGAATGAGTTGCCCCTAGATTTAGTGGGCTACCCCTCCATGGAAATCTTCAAGCAGATGGCTGGAGAGTCACTTGTTAGGGATGATGTAGTCCATCCACAAACATTTATTAAGCATCTACTATGTGCCAGGCACTGTGTTTTATATATATAAGAAAGGCAAAAACAATCCCTGACCTCAAGGACCTCACAATCTAAAGGGTTAGGCAGCTAGGTGGCAGGTGGATAGAGCACTGAGCCTGGAGTTAGGAAGACCTGAATTCAAATGCAGCCCCCTACACTCACTAGCTATGTGACCCTGGGCAAGCCACTTACACCTCTGTTTATCTCAGTTTCCTCAACTGTAAAATGGGAATAATAGCACCTACTCTGCAGGGTTGCTGTGAGGATCAAATGAGATACTGTTGAAAAGAAAAAAAAAGGCAGTTAGCACAATGCCTGGCACATAGTAGGCACTATGCAAATACTTATTTGCTTCCCTTCCCTAATGGGCAGAGTGCTGGCCTTGGAGTCAAGAGGATCCAGGCCTAAACGCTGCCTCAATCTAGCAGGATATCCCTGGGCAAGTCATGAGATCATAGCTTTTGAGCTGGAAGAGTCCAGAGTGGTCTCTACTCCAACCTTCTCATTTTACAGATGAAGAAACTGAGTCTTACAAAAGTTAAGTGACTTGCTTAAAGCTGCACGGTACTAAGTGACAGCAACAGGTTTAGAACTCAGGTCTTCTGACTCTTTAGAATGACTATATTTACCACTATGCTCTGCTGCCTCTCTTGATCTCTGTTTTGTTGCCTGGAAAATGGGGGTAATAATGGCTGTGTTCCTAGAACAGAGTTGTTGGGAGGTTAGAATGAAATGTTGCATAAAATAAATCACCTGTTGTATTAAATTAAAAGGGTGGTAAAAGGGGATCGTTACTATGTTTTTCCATTGAAGTCACTATTGTTATCAGTGTTTTCAAAAACGCTATTAATTTAACCTGATTCCCATTGCTTGAATACATTTGTTTTCATCGTGTCTCCTCGAGAAATCGCATGAACTGGGATTGACACCTCAAGGTGCTTCTAGGACTTCCCTGGAATGATGTCACCAGGCTTTGTCAATTACCACATCTGCTATTTAAAAAACAAAGCCAGCCCCTGGTAGTCTCCTTGAGCATCACCATGTGTTTTTCATTGCAGAAGTCTGCAAGAAGGGAGTCGTAACTGTGAGTCCCTCCCGGACAGTTTTGTTTGGATCCACCGTCAACATTTCGTGCTCTTTGAAACCCAAAGAAGGCTGCTCACGCACTTCTAATTTCCAAAAGTTAACCTTCTACCAAAATCGACTCCGGGTTCACTCCCAGAAGACCCACCTACTCAGCATTCAAGTCTCCAATCTCCACCTTGGAACAACCGTGTTTGTGTGCAAGGTCTCGTGTGGCGGCCACGTGGAAAGCCAAGTGTGCGGGGCTGACATCTCTGTTGGCGGTAGGCAGACTTTTTTCATCCGAATGCTTTCATGGACTTTTGGCACTTCAATTGGGATAAACAAAGATCGAAATAGCAGATCACTGCATTTTTCATGTGTCCCAATATTGGGAAAGCTAGAATCTCAAGCCTGGCACATATATACAAAGATACAGAAATAGATATAGATAACAAAGATCAAAATAACAAGATAACTGCATTTTTCATGTATCCCAATATTGGGAAAGCCAGAATCTTAAGCCTGGCACATACACACATAGATATAGAAATAGAAATAGATATAGATAACAAAGATCAAACTAGCAGATAACTGCGTTTTTCATGTATTCCAGTAATGGGAATGCTAGCATGTAAAGCCTGGTATATAGACACAGACATGGGAAAATGGTCTTGGGGTCCAGGTTAAGAATCCCTTTCAAATGGAAAGCCAATACATATAGGGAAGTGTAACTAGGGAACGGGGTGTCTTGGTCTGGGAAGTCACCGGGATGTGGATGGAGTCAGGACAACTGACCTGTGGTCCTGCAGCCTTGGAGGTCTGATTGGTGCATTTGGAAGGCTTCATATCCCTAGCATGGTTCCCAGATCACATCAGGCATGTAGTAAATGTTTGTTGACTGGCTAGGACAAGTTGTCTCTCTGTAAAATGAGGGATGGCACAACATAACTTCTCCAACCTCTAAATCTATGACTGGATGAGCCTCTCTGACTGGTCTGCCATGATGACCATTGCATGCCTTTGCTGTTAGGTTTTCTGCTGCTTTGGAGGCAGGGCAGTAGGCATAGAACCAGATTTTACTTGCGTCAGGAACTCTCTGGGAAGAAACCCCATTGCCTGATGCAAATCAGTGCCTCCTCTGCAATTTCTGAGAGTCATAATGGACTGAAAGCTCCTTCTCAGGGTCATGTGGCCAGTAGTGTTGAAGGCAGGTCCTGAGCCCAGTTTGCCCGACTCTGGGGCCGTTTTCCCGTCTATGAAGCCACGTTGCACCTTTCCTCTCGGTAGAATCCCAACCCTTGTCCTGGTCCCCACTTTGTCACCTAAGCAGTGCTTGGCGCATTCCCAGCTGTTTGAGGTTGGCAGCCAGTGGCAAATTGATCAACAAGTATTTATTAGATGCTTATTGTTTTCCAGAAACTGTGCTAAGAACTGGGGATGCAAAAACAAACAAATAAAATAAAAGAGCAAAAACCATCCCTGCTCTCGGAGCTTAAATTCTAAAGAAAGTGAGATGTACAGAAATAGGTACAGACAGAGCAGATGGAAAGTGACCTTGGATGGGAAAGAAGAAATAGCTGAGGGGACTGGAAACGGCCTTCAGGAGATGAAGCTCGAGCTGTTCTCCTCTTCCTCTTCTCACTCACTTGTTCTCAATTTTTTTTCTTTTTTCTTTTCTTTTCTTTTTTTTGTGCACCCAGGGTCACACAGCTACTAAGTGTCTGGGGCCAGATTTGAACTCAGATCCTCCTGACTCCAGGGCCAGCGCTCTTTTTCTCTTCTTCCCATTGAGAAAGAAAAAAAAAAGATAGGCCAAACCCTTATAACGATTTTGCACAGCCAGCCAAAACCCCTTTCCACATCGGCTGTGTCCAAACACATATGTCTCCTTTGTCATATTCTGCCCCGCTGGGAAGCATGCTTCATTGTCAATACTCTGATGATGCTGATCATTGCCTGATCAGAGCTCTTATGTCTTTCAGAAGTTATTCAGCTTTGCGAAGCTGTTGTTTGATGAACGCCTCTCCTGGTCCTGCTCCCTTCCCTCTGCATCAAGTCTTGATCCAAGTCTTCCCAGGTTTCCCTGAAACCATCCCCTTCATCGTTTCTTATAGCACAATAGTATTTATGCATCATAATGTGTTCAGCCATTCTCTGATGGGCACTCCTTTACCTTCCAATTCTTTGCCACCACCTAAAAAAACTATTTTTTGATCTGAGTCCTAAAGAAAGCTAGGGCTTTTGCCCACATACTTGTCTGAATTCATACAACCATTTACTACTCTCCATTAGTGTTTACCATGATGGTCTTTATGTGGGCTGGGTGACTGGTGCAAGTCATGGGCTCCTGCAGGGAGAGGTAACTATAGAGACAAATCTGTGTGTGTGTGTGTGTGTGTGTGTAACACCCAAGAGATGTTATAGGCTGTTATTCTGAACCTAGACAGTCGTTGTAGGAAAAGTCGCAGTAATAGATAGCTGTTGCGCCTGCCTGCCTCAGTCTCTCCCCACTCCAGTCCATCCTCTATTTAGCCACCAAAGGGATTTTCCTCAAGCACAGATCCGATCATGTCACTCCCTTACTCAATAAACTCCGGGCCTCCCTGTCACCTCCAAGATCAAATATAAACTGTTTGGCATTCAAAGCCTTCCATAATCCAGCCCTCTCCTCCCTTTCCAGTCTTCTTACACCCTACTGCCCACCACATGCTCTCTGATCCAGGGACCCCTGCCTCCTGGCTGCTTTGCTAACAAGACCCTCCATCTCTCAGCTCTGGGCATTCTCTCTGACTGTGCCCAGGCCTGGGACACACTCCCTTCTCACTTCTAACTACTTGTTTCCTCCAAGTCTCAACTCTCATCTTCTACAGGAAGTCTTTCCCAACCCCTCTTAATTCTAGTGCTTTTCCTCTGTTAATTATTTCCAAATCATGTCGTCTCCCCCATTAGACTGTGAGCCCCTCGAGGGCACGGACTGTTTTTTGCCTCTATTTGCTTAGCACGGCAGGGCCCCTACCAGGTAGGAGCACCCAGTAAAGGTCTGACTGAGAGGGAGCTTAATTTCTCTCAATGCAGTAATGCCGACCCCCTTCCTTGGTGGGGGAGCACGTAAGCTCTTCTTTCTGAATGACTCCTGGCCATGATGTCATCAGTAAAGTGGAGTGTTCCATGGGCGTTCTGAAGCCACAGTCGGATTCTGAATGTTCTCACAAGTCTGAGTAACCTCGACACTTAACAGGCAGAGCTCCCCGGGGCAGCTGTCTGCAAGACGCTTCTCCCCTCCTTCCAGTGATTGGGTCGCTCTGTCTGAATTGTAACCAAGTGATTCTTGTTCTTTCTGGGCTTAATGGAGGATTAGTGGCCAGTTATCTGCCCTGTGGGAAACCCAAAGTCCATTAGGACCTTAAGTAACCACAGAAGAGGTCTTAGACTTTATAGCTTCTCAGGGTAATTTTATATCTGTTGTCTCATTTACTCAAACCGTTCTCTCCATTTGGATTAAGGATCTTCCTATACAGCCTGACTCCCCAGCTCCCTCCACGTGGTGTCTCTCTGCCCAGCGGACCGCGGGTTCTTTGCCTTCTTTTAAACATGGACCCCTCTGTCCATCTGGGGAAGCGTATGGTTCCCTTCTCAGAAAAAATGTTTCTCAATGTGCATAAGATAAAATACAGAGTATTACAAAAGTCACCCATTATTCTGAATATAAAAGCACAAACTCACAGACCCAAAGTTAAGAAAGTAATGAGTAGAGGAATGAGGGTACCCATGAGATGGCTTATTCCAGGAAGCCCCTTCTTAGAGATAGAATGGAGAAGGAATACCGTGTCTGGGGCAGGAGACTCCTGAATCATGGCCGTGGGACTTTGAGCAAGTCTTTGCTTTTTAGACCACATTTTCTTCATCTTTATGGGTGGGTAGGCGGGGTTTGTCACATTAGATGACTTCAAAGGTCCCTTCCATCCCTAAGTTTATGCTCCCATAAATCTTGTGTGGGCCGCTGGTCACTATTCTTGTGCCCTGCTAGAGAGGCACTTCTCATGGCTTGTACCCATAGCTTGGGACTTTGAAGAGCAGATCTGTGGCTGGGTTGTGGCTTTGTGCCCATCAAACCTGTCACCATCATGAGGAAGGAAGCACCTGCAGAGGGTTAACGAGCTCCTGGCTGCGTTCCCGGTTTTCTTAGGGTCAGGGTGGTAACTAAGTGAGAAAATGATTTACACACTTATGTCTATGCCTCTAGAACAAGAGGGAGAAGTAAGTGGGCAGGAAGGGGACTTGGCCGTCCAGGACAACGACAGATAGGTGTGAGTTTCTCTTTCATCTCGCCATCTTCACAGGAAACAGTCCGTTTCCCATGTTTGCCCAGGCTGTGCCAGAGCCTGGAGCACTCTCCTTATCACTGCCTTCTGTTGGATTTGGTGACCCCGGGGTCTTTCCATCAAGATTCTGGGTCCTCTGACCACAGGTCCCAGAGCAGGTGTGGGTCTTCATTGGCCTAAAGATGGCTTCCTCAATCAATGTCAATGACATCGTGTGTCTGGCCTTCAGGTGCTTAATAATTGCATGTTATTGAGTTAAATATTAACTGGACAATGCTGATCAAGGGATTTGAAAGAGGATAAAATGAGATAATAATTGTAAAGTTCTTAGCCTTGTACCGGGCACATGGCCAGCACCACCCAAATGTTAGCTGTTGTTATTATTATCAATCTATGTATGCCACCATTTCAGTAAGACTCAGATGCACTTATTAACCCTCCATTTTTTCTTTGTCTTCTTTTCCTGTAAAGTCACTCCAGAGCAGCCCCAAAACCTCTCCTGTAGCCAACTAGGAGAGCAGGGGAACGTGGTCTGCACCTGGGATAAAGGAAGAGACACCCACCTGTACACCGTACACACCCTGCAGTAAGTGATACAGCCCCTCCCCCCACCAGGGCTTCCTTAGACTGATCCACTTATCACTGAGCAGAAGGAGCTTTAGGGAGTGCCTAAGGAACACCGCCCTGCTTCAACCCAATTCACAAGCAAGTCAAGACATCACCCATGATGTCACTGGTCCTCTTTGAAAATGAAGGACAGGGGCGGCTAGGTGGCGCAGTGGATAGAGCACCGGCCCTGGAGTCAGGAGGACCTGAGTTGACACTTACTAGCTGTGTGACCTTGAGCAAGTCACTTAACCCCAATTGCCTCACCAGAAAAAAAAAAGAAAAGAAAAGAAAAAGAAAAAAAGGACAAACAAGCAAGGAACGGTGGAAACAGCTCTGATCCTGGAGTCCGAAGACCTGGCTTCAAATCCTGCCATGGATGCTTACTGCCTGGGAGACCCCAGCCAAGCCCTTTTGCCTCTTTGGGTCTCAGTTTCCTCCTATGTTAAATGAGGAGGCTGAACTCAGCCACCTCTGAGAGTCACTTCTAGTTGTCTGTTAGTACTCCTACAACAACTGAGATCCCACAATCATGTGGGACAGGGCTGGGGCTCGAACCTGGGTCTCCTGACTTCTAGCGCTTGATCCCCGGCACCACACTGCTTGTAAACGCAATGAAAAGTCGCTTTCTTTTGTTCTCTTCCCGAAGACCCCTCCTCAGAATCTCTCCCTGAGTCTCCCGCCAGACACCCTTCACCCGACTCCTCCCAGATGGAAAGGGGGGCAGAGTTTGCTCCGTCTCTTTTGGTTTCTGTGTTTAATCTCGTATCTCGTTCGCTGAATCCTAGACAGAGAGCTAGAAGGGCAACTCCAGGACCGCCTTATTGTAGCAGCAGCAGCAGCGGTGAGGGCTCAGCTCTTTTCTTGTCCCCTTCAGGAGGCTGAAGCTCTTAGACTCTCAGAAGAGCTTCTGGTTTTCTTCCCATTCTGGATGCCTCCAAAGAACTCTTGGGGCACCTCAGTATAAAGCTCCAACTGCCCGCCTCGGCATCTTGGAGCTGGAGCCCAGGCTCTGGGTGGCCTTCATCATAGCGGGGGCAAAGGCTTCTCTCTGCTTCGGGCTGCGGAAGCCGATGTCTCTCTGACAGCTCCAATCACTTTCTTCAGGCTCTTCCAACCAGTCTGCTTCTGACTGAAGTGCTGTTCCCCTCGTGGGTACTGACCCAGTCCTGAGTATAGCCAGAGCTTCTCTCTCCTCATAAAGAACTGCAGCAACAGTAGGGGCTTTATCCCCCCACCTGAGTACATTTATTTATACCTTATTCACAGCCAGATCCTACAGAAGAATATGAACATTTGCTCTTCTAATACACTTTTATCTAGCTTCATTTTATTTAAAAAACTCATTATTTCAACAACAAATACTCATTCAGCACTTTATAACCTTCTTCCCAAGAACCTCATTAAGTAGGCGGATCCACATCATTCCTATTTACCAAATAGGGTGCAGAGAATTTCAAATGACCTCCTCTGTCCCAAAGCTGATAAGTGTCAGAGGGACGATTTGAACCCAGGCTTTCTGACTCTAAGTCCAAGGCTTTATCAACCACATCACAGTCAAAGGGAATAAATGTTACTATTGAGGACTCTGTCCCTAGGATGAGATGCCACAGACATTTTGTGGAATACAATCGGTGGTTTAAATATTTTCTCAAGTGAGAACAGAACTGAACTATAGGGGTGTGAAAACCACCCCAGCAAAGATGGGGAGACCCACAGCCTGGTAGGTGAAGAGAATCCTTTACAGGGTTGTAGATTGGTAGAGTTGAAAGTTCCCAAAACGTCATCAGATTTGGAAGCCTCTGAAAATTCTTGCTGTACAAATTTGGAGTAGGTGCTGGCAGCAGAATGAATCTGGAAGTTTCTCTGGAGTAGGGATGGCTGAGAAGATCCTTTGTTCAGAACAGACTCATCCAAGTCAAGGGTTCTGTTGGGTTCCTATTGGCTGGTGTTCAGCATCTTTTGCCCCAGGGAACCAATGTGCCAGGATGACTTGAGAACTTTGCCTGCCATTTTGGATCCCAGGCCCTCGAGGGACACCGCCATGACACATTTCCACTTCTATCCATTGGCTCTGCTTTAGATCTCTCCCCTGCTTTGCTTTTTCTTGTTCTAGATGGTGCACTGTTCCATCACGTGTTCCATTGGTGTCTGCCCATTTGCCACAAAGTCCTTCAAATTTCTTGTTCAATTTGTCCTGTCAATCCCTCTTCCAGCTTAAGGAAAGGTTTTTGGACCTTGGCTAATGTAATAACAGCAACAGCAATAGCTAGCATTTATATTTTGCTTTTTTAAGGGTTTCAAAGCACTTTACAAATATCTTGTTTAATCCTCACAACTTTGGGGAGGAGGGTAGATGCTATTGGTTTTTAGCTTTCTTTTTTTAATTTTAATTTTAACACTTTTGTTTAAAGTTTTGAGTTTCAAATTCTGTCCCTCCATCCCTCCTTTCCCTCCCCCCTCCCGGAGTCTGTAAGCAATCAGATATAGGTTATACATGTGTAATGATGTAAAGCATTTTCATATTAGTCATTTTGTACAAGTAGACTTAGATAAAAGAAAAAAAAGAAAGTGAAAAATAGCCTGCTTCAGTCTGGATTCAATCAATATCAGCTCTGTCTCTGGAGGCAAATTGCATTTTTCACCATTAGTCCCTCAGGATTGTCTGAGAATAGCTAAGTCATTCACAGTTCTTCATTGAACAGTACCACAGTACTGCTGTGTAAAGCGCTCTCCTGGTTCTGTTCACTTCACTATGCATCAGTTCATGGAAGTCTTTCCAGGTTTTTCTGAAATCATCCTGCTTGTCATTTCTTATAGCACAATTATATTCCATTACAATCATACACCACAGCTTGTTTAGCCACTCCCAAGTGAGGGGCATCCCCTTGATTTACAATTCTCAGCCATCACAAAAAGAGCTGCTGCAAATATTTTTATATAAATAGGTCCTTTTCCCTTTTTTTTGGATATCTTTGGGATATAGACCTAAGGTAGATGCTATTATTATTCCCATTTTCACAGATAAGTAAACTGAGGTAGAGGTAGACATGACTTGCCCAGGGTCCCACAGTTAGTAAGTGTCTGAGGCAGGATTTGAACTTGGATCTTCCTAACTCCACTTAACTGTCTCCAGATAAATCGTTTCAACTCTCTGTAAAATGAGGGGGTTGGATTGCATGATCTCAAAGGTTCTTTTTGATTCTACATTATCTTATTATCCCCTTAAGCTCTCTGAGTCTCAGTTTTCTCCTCTGTGAAATGGAGATAGTAATACTTCATAAGTTGATTTTGAGGAAAGTGATTTGAAAACTTGAAGCTCTGGACATTGGTCCAGGAAGACACAGATTCAAATCCTGTCTCTGACACTTCCTAGCTATAGGACCCCAGACACATCCCTTAACCTCTGTTTGCCTCAGTTTCCTCATCTGTAAAATGAGGAGGTGGCCTTTGAGGGTCCTTTCAACTCTAGACTTGTTATATGACAAGTCAGACTCCAGGGTCTCAGTTTCCTCATTTGGGGAGTAGACTAGATTGTCGCTGAAGTCCTTTCCAGCTGGAGCCCTCTAGGATTCCATGACCTTTAGGTGCTATGGAAATCTAAATTGTGGTGGTCGAGGTAATAGTGGTAGAAGCAGCAGAAGTAGGGGTAGGAATGGTACTTGCGGCATCAGTAGGCGGAAGTGTTAGTAGTGGCAGCAGTGGTTTGAGTTGTAGTGGTCATCATGGTGGTAGCAGCGGTATTAGTTAGTATTAGTGGTATTAGTGGTGGTCGTCGTAGTGGTAGTTAAGCCGGAAGAGAATTCAGAGGTCACCTGGCCCATCCCCCTCATTTTACAGATGAGGAAACTAAGCCACACGGGATCACCCCGCTAGGAAGCGTCTGAGGCAAGATTAGAACCCGGTTTTCCCAACTCCGGCCTTGTGGTCCTATGTCTTACGGCACTAACGTGTCTCTTCTTTATAGGCTGACGGGGCCGAACAATTTGGATTTGGAGAAACAATGTGCTCCGTATCACGATGATCTGGATCTTGGAATGAGCCTGAGCCCGGCTTCTCCCGAAGCCAATTACACGGCCAAAGTTGTTGCTTCGAACAGCCTCGGGAATTCTTCTTCCCTCCCCTTGGTGTTCTCCTTCGTGGACATAGGTGGGTGGCTTTTGGCCGCCATCTTGGCTGCCCACTTGATGCTCCGCACTTGCCCCTTTGGGTTGTCAGCTACTTTCCCCTGTGCCTCCCAGATAAGCACCCCAAGAGGACGGGGAAGTTTCTTGAGGGGCAAGGCTGGCTTTATGCCCCAAGCACCATGCTTTGCGCGTAGTAGGAGCTCAGTAAGGTAACAAATATTTCTTGATGGATTGCTTTGTCCGGGCTGTCTCCCTTGGACCTGGAAGTCTTCCTGATTCATCTCTTGGAACCCCAGACTTTGTGTAACACTCCACAAAGTGCAAAATGCTCACGGGAAGCCTCGCTGACCCCTCAACTCCCTAATACTCTCTGCTTCTTCAAATGAACGTGTCTCTACTTAACTGTGTGTTGTCTCCTACAGTACTATGTCAGCTCCTTGAGGGCAGGTACAGTTTTGTTTTCACCTCTGTGTGACCAGTGACTAGTACCTAATAGATGTTATCAATTCAGTTCAGTTCAATTCAAGGACCTTTTAGTGAACACCCACTTTGTACCAGACAGTGGACCAGGCTTTCCAGAAGAGTCCCTGCCCTCAAGGACTTTACATTCGACTAAATGTTGGTTGGATTCTATTGATAAAATGCCTGATCTTGGGGTATGAGAGGTGATTATGTCATTTAACACCTGAGGATTTCAGGAAATGATCCTATTTTCATGTGCTCATGTTCCTTGATGACGCCCCACCCATTCCATCCTTCACCCCTGCCACCGTCGCCTCCCAACTTCCTTCTTTCTATTTCTAGCCCTCCCCCACCAGAGGTCCTGTGTTTATCGTTCCATGGCACCATCTCCTCTTTGTTTCTCCTCCTCTTCTGTCTCTTCTGTGTTCTTTCCAACCTGGCAGGTCATTTCTCCCACATAATCCATATTTCATTGAATTAATGCCTTTAAATTAAAAAAAAAAAGTCCAGACCAGTGATTTCACCAACACAGGGAACTTCCAATATGGAAGATCCCTCTGCCTAGGAAGATTAGCCCTTTTAAAAAATTGAGGCTTCTAGAGAATCTAGACAGAATTCCGATGACTTAACTAGGTTCAGACCTCTATTTTGTGTCTCAACACAGGGCTTTGAGAATCCACGTTCTTTAGCTGCTGAAGAAATGAAATTAGTGAATTAAATGAAATCATCACCAGGGCTGATGGTAGTCATTGCCTAATTGGTAAAAGTCAGGAGTGGGTAATTGTGCTCCTGGGAAACAAGTTCCACCCCAGGGGTGATCCCTGGGGCTGCTGGCTAATTCCCTTTTCTGTTTCTCTGCTTTACTAGTGAAGCCTCTTCCTCCAAGTGACATCAGAGCTGACTTTCCCAATTTGTTGGCCAACTTCTGTACCTTACAGTGGCAGGACCGAGGACCGGTGGTGCTGAATCGCCTCCAGTTTCGGCCAGTCCATGAAAACGCCTGGAAAACGGTAATCTTTCCATGATGGTGAGACGGGGACGGGAGAGGGGCCTCCCTTTTCATTTAAGCATGTGATATTTGTGGTGGGAAAGAGGTTCTTTATCAGATATTTTCAATATGACTACCTAACCCTTTGTCATTGAGATTCATCTCTTCCCATCTGAAAATTGGGGGTCCTGAGATGATTTGACCTAAAGGATACACATCTGAGTCATTCCTGAAAGTCCTGTGTGGTTCTGTCTCTTAGTAAATGTCGTAGACTTTGGTCAATGATATTAATTGTTCTTTTGGTTTTTACACTCCTAATGACGAAAATGATCATTCATATATGATGATAATAATAGTAATATTTGTATAGCTCTTTAAGGTTTGCAAAGTACTTTACAAATTTGATCTCATTTTATCCTTACAACAACCCTTGGAAAAGCGATGCTTTTATTACCCCCATTTTACAGATGAAGAAACTGAGACCCAGAAGCTTAAGGGACTTGCCTATCTAGTGTCAGAGATAGGATTTGAACTTTGGTCTTTTCAGTTCCAAACTCCAAGCCCTGCACTCTCTCCACTCCTGTATAATATGTGTAAAGCATTTGGCCTAGTACCTGGCACATAGTAGGAATTTAACAAATGCTTGTTGAATCAAATGACTTACACTGTTTTCCCCAAGTTATTATTTTTTCTGAGGCTGCATCAAGGTGACAAGATTTATGGTTTATATCTCTGAAAACACGTGAAATTTGCTGCTTCAGCACAGGCCTCAGCTTTGTCTTTAAAGAAAATTGGCAATTCATGTCAGTTCAGTTTATTGGGCTCTTATTAAGTATCTACTATATCCCCAGGGCACCGTTCATGGCACTGGAGTTACATGGACAAGGGCTGAAGCAATCCTTCTCCTTAAGAAGCTTATATTCTCTCAGGCAGCATGGAGACATGTGATTTTCCTAAACACATCTTTGGTCTCCCCGCTGTCCTACTCAACAAATTGCTGGAGATAGTGAAAGCCCTGTCCACCCTGGATCCAACCTACCCTTAGGCCATTATAATATATTACCTCTGTTATCCACTTAACCAGATCTTCCTTTCCTCATCCATGGCTTTCTGCTCCTTGGCACTGGCTGTCCCCAAGCCTAGAATGCATTCTTTCCACATTTCTCTTATAATCCCTTGATGAGGAAGCAGAGATCTATGGAGATGGACCATGACTTACTGAAGGTCAGCCAACCAGCTAAGGGGCAGCACTAGGATTCGAACCACGATATTTCAAAAGCCTCCTTTGACCCTGACCTCTCCTCCACATGACTGGAAGGTTTATCTTGCTGAGCGGTGAAGGGTCATGACGGCGCATGGGTCAAAAGCGTCTGAAGTCTCAGCAATGAAGAGAGAAGGGAAGAGAATGGATGAGTTGAAAACACTGACAGTTAAAAAAGGCAGGAGGGTGATGAGTGTCTGAAACGGGATCGAAGGCCGGAAGAAGACTGATGAGCAGCGGCTCGAAACTGGCTTTCTGTTTCTACTTTTCTCATGGATAAGAGCTGCTCCTATCAGTCCTCTTCAGACCTACTCCACTCGAATCACACTGAACCACTGGTCTGCATTCAAATCATGGACAAGGCTTCTTTTTTCTGAATCAATAGCTTTATTTACATGATGCCTGGAAGGTCTCCTGCCAACATAACATATCCTCTGGGAGAACCTTCGCCACCCCCTATAATGGCAGCGATGGTGATCACTAGCATTTATATAATGTTTTAAGGTTTGCAAACAACTCTGCAATTATTATCTCTTTTGATCCTCGCAACAGCCCTGAGAGGCATTTTTACAGATGAAGAAATTGAGGCAGAGGTTAGGTGTCTTGCCCAGGGTCACTGGTTAGTGTCTGGATTTGAATTCAGGTCCAGAGCTCTATCTACTGCACTGACTTAGATAGGTGCTTTAGTGGTATCCCACCCTTCTTGTGTATTCCACCTAGCACATTGTACCAAAAGTGTATTATGTTATAGTTATAGTTATGTTATAGTGTATTATGTTATATTAAGTTATATAAAGTTATAGTATTATGTTATTTATATATGTTGTCACATCTCTCCCCTAGGTCTATGCCTTGTGGGCAGGCATAGTTGCCTAAACTCTGTTCATCCTCCAGGGTCTAAGAGAGCACTCTGCACATCACATAAACTTCTCAAGTAGAGATTATTCCATTCTTTGTACTCATGTCCCTGGCACCTAATTTAGCACCCTGTATGTAGCAGGAACTTAATAAATATTTACCAAATGACAGATAGTCGGTGCTTAATGAATGGTCATGCAAATGAAAACTCAGCGCAAAGTGGTCAGAAATCCAGATTAACCGATGTTGTTGTGATTTCTTTTCATAGAATCAGAAATGGAAGGTAGTCATTAGGCTAAGTATTTAACGTTCATTGTTCTCACTCGAGCTTTTTGTTTGTATCGTCTGGTTCAAGGTTCACGTCGCTAATTCTGGAGGAAGATATGATCTGTACAACCTGATACCATTTACAGAGTATGAATTTCAGATTTCCTCCAAACTGCATTCTGTCAAAGGAAGATGGAGTGACTGGAGCAAATCACTGAGGACTCAGACTCCGAGAGAAGGTCTCACACACACACACACACACATTCTCATTACTCTAAATTTGAGCGAAAAAATAGCACTGCCTTGTACTAATCTCCTGTTGAAATAGAACGTTTCCTTCAGTTATTTAAAACCATTATTCTGAGAATGGGCCGCTACCAAGGAGGTCCATGATACCCTGCCCTAGAGGCAATGTAGCATCATGGAAGATTCTTGGGCGTCTGGTTGCCTGAAACCCTCCTGATCTATTCGCCTGGGGAACAAGGGTTGTTGTCCATAGTGCTCTCGTTTTCGTTAGTTCTTAATCACGGGACATCATGGAGGTGGTTTGGACTGTGTTAGTTCCACTGTTTCCTCTCTTCTCCATCAGCAAACAGACTCGTAGGACTGGCCGAAGACAAAGGCCACATTTGGCATGTCACAGGAACAATTTTGATCCGGCCATCTTTTTAAATTATTGTGTTCTTTTTTCCCTCCCACATTTTTGGACTAATTGACCAAACATCCTATTCAATTATACCTTCCAACAATTTAATTCAGTCTACAAGGTAAACTCGAATTGTTGTTGTTCAGTCATGCCCAACCCTTCATGACCCCATTTGGGGGTTTCTTGGCAAAGACACTGGAGCGGTTTGCCATTTTGTTCTCCAGATCATTTTGCAGATGAGGAAACTGAGGCAAATACGGTTAAGTGACTTGCCCAGGGTCACACAGCTAGTAAGTGTCTGAAGCTGGATTTGAACTCGGGTTTTAATGTCTCCAGACCCAGCGGTCAATCCACTGCGCCACCTTACTTAATTAGTAAGAAGGATGGTCGTCATCATAACCTACGCTGGCCTTAGAGGCAAGAGAAAACTAAGTCTGAATCCTGTCTCATATATCCAATAGTTGTACATTGCTATACAACTTGCAGTTTCACGGATTTTATCTCATTTGATCATCACAACAAGGGGAGTAAGGTAGGAAGTAAGAACATGATTATCCCTAGATAAAGAAACTGAGGGTCAGGGAGGTTAACCTCTCTGGAACTTAGCCAAGATCACACAACTAGGGATTCTCTAAGACAATAAGTTACTGATGAATTGCCAGGTCTGACTAAGTGAAGGGAATTTCCAAACTGGGAGTCATTCCCTCCCACCCTTTTCCATGCAAACAGTTCAGGCCAAAAAATAATTTTAAAAAATAATTTTATAATAAATAAAATACTAGAAGTCGGGATTTGACTTTTCACATCTCATAGCATGCTCAATCAACAAGAGACCTGTTTTGGGGGGTGGGGGGATGGAGAAGACTGTCATTCTGAAGGCTTTCTGACATTCATGCAGAAAAATGCCTACTCCCCTAAAACACACCTCCCTTAGCTGAGTCTTCTTGGCTGATGCCCAATGTTTTCATCTTCCTTTTCTGTCTGATCTTCTTGTGGGCTGCTTAAACACCCTGGGCTGTATTCTTAGCTGCTCGGCTCTTACCGCTCACCGCTGTTTCTGTCATCAGTTCCTTTCTGAAACTAGTTAATGCAAGATCCAAAAGGTGTGATGTTTCTCCCTCACTCTCTCTCTCTCTCTCTCTCTCTCTCTCCCTCTCTCTCTCTCTCTCTCTCTTTCTCTCTCTCCCTCTCTCTCTCTCTCTCTCTCACACACACACACACACACACACACACACACACACACACTTTCCTTTTAACCCCTTAGGCGTACTTTTATTGTCTGTTTGGGGTTTTTCAGTTGGGTTTTTTTCCACCGCTAACTCAGTAGTAAGGTTTCAATTCAATTTCATTCCTACCGTAACTATTATCGTACATTACACTTACATGAAATTGCATGTTGACTTCCTTTAAAGCCCTCCAGCAGTGACCCTGCTTCTCAAAGGCAAATTCTGACATATCATCTCAAAATTATGAAATCTCTGGAGCTGGATCGGGGGCCACAGAGCCCACCCCCTTCCCAAGTATCCAGTCACCCAACCTTTGCTGGAAGGACTTTAATGAGAGGGAAATCTGGCAAGAGATAGGGTTTGGATTTGGTTGTTTGGAAGGGCTCATTACCAAGTTGGCCATCCCCGAATAGCATATGAGATAGTAGATTTTAAAGTTAAAAAATGTCCCAGGCAATGCAGAAATCCTTCTTTCCTTCTTTTTAAAATGTTCTTTTCCCCCATCCATTCCACTTTGTCTTTTAAATGAGAGATTCTGTAGTCTTAGGAAATCTAATTTCCACCTCACTTTTTTTTTTTCTTTTTTGAGGCGGAGGAGGCTTAACATTTTCTAGCTCTTTTCATCTTCCAAAGTTCCCTGGGTAGAGACCTGGAGTCAGGAAGACCTGGGTTTGAACCCAATTTTTGGCATTTACTTGACTTAGCTTGAGTCATCTGTCAAGTGAGGATAATACTGCCTATAGAAGCAACCTGCCTGTCAAGTCAATAAGCATTTATTAAATGCCTACTGTGTATGTGCCAGGCATGGGGTTAAGTACTGGGAATACAGAGCAGTCAGCAAACACTTCACATTCATGCGTGTCTCTTTCTCTGCCCCTTCCCCCCCCATTAGAATATAAGCTCCCTGAGGGCAGGGACTGTCTTTCAGTATGTATTTGTATCCTTGGCTCTTAGAATGGGTGCTACCTCAGGAGAGCACTATTTTTTCCATTTTCTTTGTATCCCCAGAGCATAGCACAGTGCTTGGTACAACAAGTGCAAAATAAATACATGGTGATTGACCATGACCTGAAGTCCTGAGATTTTGCTTCTTTATCTCACCGCTTCTCAACTCCTACCCAATTCATCATGTAAAGAGAAGGCTATCCTAGAATGCTCATATCTGATCAGTAGTGAGCATTGGACTTAGAGTCAGAAGACCTGGATTCTAATCTTGCCTCAGTGGATAGAGTGCCGAGCTTGGAGTCAGGAAACCTCATCTTCCTGAGTTCAAATCTGACCTCAGACACTTACTAGCTGTGTGACCCTGGGTAGGTCAGTTAACCCTGTTTGCCTCAGTTTCCTCATTTGTAAAACGAGCTGGAGAAGGAAATGGCAAATCGCTCCAGTATCTTTGCCAAGAAACCAATAAATGGAGTCACGAAGAGTTGGGCATGACTGAACAAAAACAAAAATATCTTATTGGAACTAATAATTATTTTTAGAAAAAGGCACTAGTTGCTTAACTGGATAATAGTGATTTGGGTCCTGGATTTGAAGTCAAATAGAACTGAATTTGATCCTACTAGCTGTGTGACCTTGGACAAGTCACTTAGCCGCTATCAGACTTGAGTTCCTCATCTGCAAAATGGAGGGAAAGGAATAATATCTGCAGCATTTACCTCACATGGTTTCTAGGAGAACCAAATGAAATAATTGGGAAGATTCCAAGGCATTGAACAAGTTTAATGGAGTATTGCTATTGTTTTCTTCCTAAGAATTGTTATTTTTAGTAATAATACTAGTGGTGATGAAAAGGATGTGACAGTTCAGAGCAAGATTCAAACATATACTACTGCAGAGCCTGGTATATAGTAGGCATTTAATAAATGCTTATTGATTGATGCATACCATATATACAGTATACATACATGAGTGTGGATATGGATATACCTTGTTTTAAAACCCACCCTACCCCCCTTACTGAAGAGCATATTTTAAAACATTTCATAATAAGGTGTTTGAACCGATGATTTCCCTAGGGACCGAAAACAACCACTAAAGTCCTGTTTCTTGACTTAAGAGCTGAGGAAAGCCTTGGCACATTTAGGATGGTGTGACTCATTGATGTTATTCCAGCTAATTAGGCCTATGTTCAAGAGTTTCTGATAATGTAATATCATTTATGCAATTTTCTGGTCTATGTCTCAAATTCCTTGTCTGATACCAAAATGGGTTTTTTGGGTTTTTGGGGGGTTTTTTTGCCTCCAAGTATAGTAGGACCATGCTATGATTTTGCTTGGTAAATATTCTTTTCTGAAATAATGTTTTCATCAGTTTAAGGCTGATTTTTAAAAATTCAGTTATTTTTTAAATTCAGTATTTGACAGTGTGGTAAGGTGAATGGCGCATAGGACCTAGGATGAGGAAGACCCAGTTTCAAATCCCATCTCCAGCACTTACTGAGTGACCATGGGCATGTGACAATCTCCTGAGCCTCACAAATCTCTGAGACTCTAAGTTATATGTGGGTTGGATGAAGGAAATCCGTGTGCAAGCTAAGTCAGAAGTCCTTGTCATGATGATGTAGAAAGGTTTTACAGTTTGACCACTTGGTCTTTAATTGACAATCCAAGATAGGAGTAAATCAATTCAACATTTATGAAGTGCCTACTGAGTGCTAGGCTCTCTGCTAAGCCCTGGATATACAAGGAGAGAAAGAGGAAGGAAAGAATGGAGGAAAGAAGGAGAAGGCCTTGCTCTCAAGTTTACATTCTGCTGGCAGGAAAGAACACATCTATAGCTCAGTGGGAGGGCCTGGGTTTGAATCCTGCCTATGCCTCTTATTAGCTGTGTAACCTTGACTGTGTCACTGAGCCTCAGTTTCCTCATCTGTAAAATGATAGCATTGTGCTTGATGACGTCTAAGGTTCTTTCCAGCTCTCAATCTCGGCATTTCTGCATGAAGCCTCTTTGGCTCTCCCTCACTGCCAGTGTCCTCCCTCTCAGCCCTTGGGGTGTATTTCTATTTTTTCATGGATTGAAACAAAAATGGAGAGATCAAGAAATAGAAAAGCAGAAATATAGATAGGTGGAACATGTATTAAGCACCTACTGGGTGCCAGGCACGGTGCGAAACCCTTGGGATGCAAAGGCAAGACCAGTTGGTCCCTACGGTTAAAGAGCTGATGAAGTAAAATACCACCTGAAAGGGAGTTGGAAGGTGGGGTAAGGAGAGGGGGAGGAAGAAGGGGGAGGGCAGCCACGGTGGGGCCAGACCTGAGAGTGAGCAGGGAGGGAGGCTGGCAGCATGGCAGGGACATCTGGTAATATGGCGGCCAATCCTTCTACCCCCCAGAACCTAGCACATAGTAGGAACTTAAAAAATACTGGTTGATTGATCCTCTGATCCTAAGTAAATGAAAGGGAATTGAAGGAGGATGAAGAAGTGGTGTCTTTTCACGCGGACATATCCTGCTCAGCCATAAACTTCCTGAGGTCAGGTAACCGGGCTTATCGCACCTAGCGTACCTCACTTTGGCTATAGAAAGTACTCAGGGAATATCTCTTGACTGATGGGTAAGGACTAACTATTACAGAGCGTAGAATGTGGTAGGATAAAAGCCTCTCACAGCCAGGGACTTGTTTTTCTTTATATCTCTTTAATGATAATGATTATAATAATAGCTAACATTTATAAGGCTTACTGTGTGCTAGGCACTGTGCTAAACACTTTGCAAATATTATCTCATCCGATCCTTGCAACAACCCTAGGAGGTGTAGGGGCTATTGTTATTCCCATTTTACAGTTGAAGAAACGGAGGCAAACAGAGGTTAAGTGACTTGTCAAGGGTCTGAGGCTGGATTTGAACTCGGGTCTTCCTGACTCCAGGTCTGGTGCTCCGTCTACTACATGACCATCTCTTGCCCTGACTTCTAGAGCAGTGGCTGATAGGTTCTTAATTAATGCTTTAATTGAATCAACCACTTGCAAGAACCTTTAAATCAGTAGCACCTGACCTGTTTTGGGTCACGGACTCTTTGGGTGCCTGCTGAGGCCTCTGGATTCCTTTGCAGAATTATGTTTTAAAATGTATAAAGTGAAATACATAAGATGACAAAGGAAACTGAATTATATCGCAGTGTAATTAGCAAAATATTTTATAAAAACAAAGCCAGGACCCCCAGGTTATGAGTCCGCCACAGCCCAGGGCTGTGTGACCTTGCGAATGTTTGTAAACGGACGTAAAATGATTTTGTTTCTAACTCTTTAAAAGCTCCACCTGCCCCGGATGAAACAACTTATTTCTCTTCTTTTCAAACAGAGCCAGTGGGAACGTTGGATGTGTGGTACACAGTGGACGACCTGGAAGGTGGCCTACAAAATGTTTCTCTGTTTTGGAAGGTGAGATTGGGGTGGAAGCCGACGGTTCCGTAGAATTCTTTCATGGTCTCACGAGAGCTCTGAGGCAGAGAGGTCGCTGAAGCGTGAATCGCTCTGCTAAAACTCTTTTCTCCTCCAACATCCATTTGTTGGCCTACCCAGATCACAGCCTGTTTATAATAGAGCGCTGCCGGAGGCTCAGGGAATTACTGGAGGTCACACAGATTTGAAGTGTCAGAGCTGAGATTTGGAGCTGACTCCGGGGCCAGCTTTCCGCCCCCTTTCTCATTTGTGATAGGAATTATTCCTTTCTCGTTTGTGATAGAAATTATTCCTCAACCTTCCTGGGCCTCGGTTTCCCCCTCTGTAATTTGGCGGACGTTGAGCAAGCTGACTCCAGGTTCCTTCCAGCTCTAGAACTGTGATTGTCTTATGGTTCCTGGTAGGGGAGATACCATAAACCAAGGGGTGAGCTCTCGGGCTTCAGAGACGGATGATGGAGGTGGGACTCGGGGTCTGCCCATCCAAGATTTCCAGTGTTGACCAGACTTCCCCTTTTCTTGGGCTAGGTAGCAGAGGCAGCGGGCAGGGTCATTCTGTTCCTCTTATTGACTAATGAGGGTTTGACTGGGGCTAGGGGGCGGGGCAGGAAGGAAAGGAATTGGGATGGTTCCCTCCAATGCCTGCTAGGACCCCTCTACCCTGCTAGTAACAGCCTCTTCTTACCACTAAACCCAGTTACTCTCTCTGCCCAATCACAATGAGGCATGCCTGGGAGAGTGGACAGCATGCTGTCCGCTGGGTTCACATCCTCCCTCAGATATTTCCTACTTTGGTGGTCCTGGGGAAGTCATTTCATCTCTGCATCTCAGCTTTCTTCTCTATAAAATGAAGGGATTGTTCTCCTCTTACGCCCTTCCTCTAATCTGAATCAGAATGCACGCCTCCCCATCCCAAACCCCACCAGGCCTTGCCTCACTCCAGTCCCCTCATTCCTTTCCACCACCCTCCTTCCCTCTGACAACCATGCTCCCTCTCCCTCAGCCTCCACCCAATCCATGCTTCCATTTCCAACCAGGGTTTTCCCCTAGAGATAACGCGGTACATCAAAGGAACCCTGAGCCTGGAGTCTGAAAATCTTGGTTCAAAGCTCGTTTCTGAAGGGTACTGCCTGTGTGATCATCTCTCCGGCCCTCAGTTTCTTCATCTGTAAAATGAAAGAGTTGTCCCCCACGGCCTCTGAGATCACTTCCAGCTGTCTGATCCTCTGCATTCTGTAACCTCATCCTTTCCCATACACCCAGCATGATTTCTTTAAAAAAATCTCACTTTTGGGGCAATCTTTTGTTTTTTCACCACTTTAATTTCCAAATATATTACTCTCCCTTTCCATCCAATCGTGCTTTTTTAACAAAGATTTTAAAAGGAAGAGAAAAAAATCAGTTCAGGAATCCAAACAATACACCAAACATATCTGACAACATGCTACAATCCAGCTCCCTCTCCCCACCCCTAACCGTAAAGGGAAAGAACCATCCTGGACCAGAGTTCTTTCCCCACCTACGATTCTGGGGTGTTGGCATAGGGAGAGAAAAAGAGGAAGGAAGGAGAGAAACTCATCACTGTTTCTTCCCACTCACCCCGAACTGTAAGAAGGAGATGAGCTCGCTGTCCTGCTCCCCAGCCCTGCCCCAAGCTCGGGGCCCCTTTAAAGAGGGCCCGGCTGGGCTTCAGGAGGACCTCTTTCAGAGGATGCTTCTTCCTCGTTTCTCAAACCCCCTCCCCTCTCCTCATCACTGTCCCCAGTGAAGGGTGAAGAGCTACATTAAAACAGATCCACAAAGTCCGAAGGGGGACTCGCGGAGAGAAGGGTCCCCAGGAGGGCTTGGCTGATATTCCGCACCCTTCAGTTTTCAGAAATAATGTAGGAGGAGAAGGAGCTCTCTCCTCCCCCGGCACTTTGTCTGGCTTCTCCTCTTCTTCCTCCCTCCTCTCTCTCCTCCTCTATCATTTTTCTCTCTCTTCCCTCTTCCCTTCCTTCTCTTCTTTCCCTCATCTCTCTCTTTTCTTCTCTTACCTTCCTCTCTACCATCCTTTTTTCTCTCCTTCCTTCTCTCCCTCTCCCCCCCCCCATCCTGTCTCACACACACAAAATTTATCAGTACCAGCATCAGGGACGTACTATAAATAGCATGTGGATTGGCAGTCAAAGCCTTAGGATGGCTGCGACCATTTGGATTTCTTAATAGGGCTTAGGGATAGAGGTTAGACCCGTCTTTTTGACAGCCTAGGGGACCCCTGGAGGAGGAAAAGCCTCAGGCCCTTTCTTTGTAATCATTTGCCTGGGGCACTGCGAAATTGGACTAGAACCCAGGTCTTCCGGCTCCCAGGTCAACTGTCTTTTTACTGTCATATACTTAACACAACACCAGGCACATAGCAGGTGCTCCGCAAATGCTTATGGACTGACTTGCTAGGCCAAGGTGAGTTCATTCAGATTAAAAAGAAAACAAAACAACCACTTAACCAGCCCTTTTCTTCCAAAGAAGCTGCTGCCATCTTGGGGGGCTTTCAGAGAGTCAGAGCTGCTAGGAATGACCAGGTGAGCTCATCCCACTATCCCTGCCACCAGTCAGTCCACAGCTGGAATACTCTGGTCAGTCCCGGGAACTCCAGTTTTAAAGGCCAGTGACCTGGGACAGCATGCTGTGGAGGGCAGCCAGGGTGTGGTGAAGAGTCTGGGCTTTGTGCCATGTAATGACGGGGTGAAGGACCTGGGGATGGTTGTCTCGGGGGAGAGAAGACTTGGGGAGACCCGACTGCTGTGGATGTAATCTACCTGATTTTAGCAGAGCTCTTGACAAACACAAAGCTTTGGTGACCTTTGTTCTCACTTTTCTTGCGGAGAAGATGGTGGGTATGGATCAGCCAGTCATGGAGCCAGATTGTTTTAGAACTGGTTGGATAGACATATTTAAAGAGCCCATAGTCCTTAATGGCTTGGTGTGAGCATGGCAGAAGGCTTTTGGTGAACTGCCCTGGGGATCTTTGTCCCTGTGCAAAGGGACTTATCGGTGATGAGGGTGAGGTTTGCTGGACAAAGACTCAGAAGGACCAAAGCTGGGAAGGGTTGGCAGGGCAGCAGATAGAATCTGGATCCAAATGGTTCTTGAGACTTGAGCGCTGGGCTGAATCCTGTAAGATGAAATTCATTAGCGGTCAATATGAAGTTGTGCACTTTGGCAAAAAAAAATCAGCCTCACAAAAAGAAGGAGGAGGCCTGGATAGACAATGGCTGTTCTGAGAAAGATCAGAGGGTTTAATTGAACCGCAAGGTCAGTCTGGTTCAGCAGTGGGACATGGCCACTAATGGAAACCTGGGTTGCACTGATCGGGGCTGCTGTTCCAGGAAGAGGTGGAATGAAGCACTGTCCTGTGCCCTTCTCAGCCTCCTCTGGAGCCATGTGCTCATTTCTGGGCACCGGGGTTCAAGAAGGATGCTGATGACAGCCACGGGCCCTAAGCTCCTGCCGTCTGAGGAGGTATTCAGAGAAACAGCTCGTGTTCATCCTGGAGGAAAGAGGATGTGGGGGATGGAATGGTTGCCTTCCAGCATGTGAAGGAGGGGTGTTCTGTTTGGCTCCAAAGGGGAGACCCAAAGGGAAGGCTGCAGGGAGGCTGATTCAGGCCGGAGGTCAGGGAGGGCTTCTGGACAGTGAGGGATGTGTCCAGAAGCGGGAGAGCCGCTGCCTAGGGAGCAGGTGGGCTCCCTCTCCCTGGCAGCTTTAGGCCAAGACTGGACACCCACCTATCAGGGCATTCCTGGGTGTACAGGGTAGACCAGGTGACTGCTGGGGTCCTTTATGAATCCGAAGGGCTGCCATGGAAAAGGGGCAGAACCCGAGGTAGTGGGTAGAAGAGGCCAGAGGACAAATTAAGTTGGATATTGGACAGTCACATCTGCCTCTTTTTACAGAAGAGGAAACTGAGGCCTAGAGAAGTAGCTGTCCTCCGGCTCTCAGAATGTGTGTGCTTCCAAGGATTCCAGCCAACCCACTCCAGGAAAGCTTTAGTGACTGTTATTTGATGTCTGGCCAATACAAGAAGCTGTGGCCAGATTCTTCCCATTCTGTCCAAACCAATCAATCACTCAATAAACAAGCATTTATTTGGTACATGCACTGTGCAAAGTAAGCACTGCAGATATCCAGAGAAAGAGAAAACAAGTCTCTGTCCTCAGGGAGCTTACCATCTAAAGGGGGAGTCATGTAAGCAGGTGTCCTTACTAGACACTGAGGGGGCAGCGAGTTTAGGGAGCCAAGCCCCCAGGCCTGCAGGAGCCAAGAGCTCCAAGTTCTCTTCCCTGGGGCAGTGACGGTGCAGGGGTGCTGCTGGACCCCTGAGCCCGGAGCATTTCCAGTTAAAGCCCGGCAGGCGGGCATCTGAGGAAAGAGGGGGTTTTCTCAGCTCGGGGAAAGACTCGGGGCTCTGCCGTTTCACTTTTGTCCGATGTTTACATTAAGAGGGGCACAGAATGACTCAGCGTAGCCCCTGGAGCCCAGAGGAGGGAAAATCCCTCCTGAGTCACCAGCATTTCTAGGTAGTTACTTACTCATTTTTCCAGGTTTCTTGGATGAAGGACAGTTTCTATTTCTCCTCTGAAAATACAGTTTCCCCAAGATCTATTGTCTTTCCTTTGGTGGCTATTTTTAGATCAAAAAATGCTTTCTTTGAACAGTCAAAAAACCCAACCCAGAGTATACTACGAAAACAAATGCAACTGGTATTGTCTTTAAAAAAAAAAAAAAGTGCTGCTAGACAGAAACTCATCTTGAATTAGAAAATGACATGATTATGTTAGGTCACGGCACAGTGTACTTCCTTTTCTTATACTGGATCAGTAGCACCTACTATGTGCCAGATAGTGCTAAACCTGGTGATACAAAAATGAAAAAGAAAGTCTGTCTTTGCCCTCAAGGAGCTTACAATCCAATGGGGGAAGACAGTCGACAAAGGGAAGC